CCCTGCTTGTGTTCCCTCTCTCGCTGTGTCTCTCTGTCAAAAAAATAAATAGAATCTTTAAAAAAAATAAAAATAAAAATATATAATAAAGTTAAATTCTTGCCAAACGGCTTACAAAGTTTAGATCATGATGACTGATATCAAGCTGACTTTTTGGGGAAAAATGATGAACTACTGGTTCAATACATTTTTAAAATAGACTATTTTTTAGAGCAGTTTTGGATACCAGCAGTAAAATGGAGCAGAAAGTACAAAGAATTCCCATGTACCTCTTTTTCCCACAAGTGTACAACCTCCCCCACTTTGAACTTCCCTCACCAGAGTGATACATTTGTTACAACTGATGAAGATACACTGACAGGTCTCTATCACATAATTTAGAGTTCACTCTTGGTCTTGTACATTGTATGGATTTAGACAAACACATAATGACATGTGCCAAACATTATTATATACAGAATCATTTCACTGCCCTAAAAATCCTCTGTGCTCTATTCACCCCTTCCTCCCCTCAAAACTCTAGAAACCAATCCTTTTATTGTATCCACAATTTGCCTTTTCCAGAATGTCATATAGTTGGAATCATATAGTAGGTAGTCTTTTCAGATTGGCTTCTTTCACTTGGTAGTATGCATTTAAGTTTCCTCCATGGCTCGATAGATCATTTTTCAGTGCTGAATAATATTCCATTACCTTGGTATACCAGTGTATTTATCCATCCACCCACTAAAGGACACCTTGATTGCTTCCAAGGTTTGAGAGTTATGAAGAAAGCTGCTGAAATGTTGTATGCACGTCTCTGTGTGGACATAAGTTTTCAACACATTTGGGTAACTATCAAGGAGTGCTGATTACTGAATAGCGTGGTAAGAGTATGTTTAGTTTTCTGCTCCATCTTCCAAAGTAGCTGTACCATTTTGCATTCCCACCAGAAATGAATGAGAGTTCCTCGGTTCAATACATCTTTTTAAAAATCTCAATGCAGCTCCATCACCAGTGGAAGTAACAGAAGTCACACATTTACACATACACCATTATAGTCTTGAGAAGGATCACAGTGGCATAATAATTCTTAGCTAGGAGGGTCCCCAGGCCACACTGGTCTAGTAAGAAATAATCGAAGTCCATATAGTGGGCATTTTGTCCTTGAAACCAGCCAATTTATTCTTTTACAGTAAGAAACTGCTATCCCAGCAATAGGAAATATGTGAAGTCTATGGAACTGGTGCATTATTTCCTTGGAAACACACTTACGTAGGAAGCTAAATTATACGCAGAGGATAAATTGATGAGCAGAGGATCAGAAAAAAGGAAGTAACTAAAACTATGTTTAATGTGGTAAATTGTTACAGCAATGGCCTCCATGAATCACACTTCCAGATATCCACACCCTTGTATATTCTCCTTCCATGTAGACTCTGGGCTTGGACATCTGCCTTGCTTTAGCCAAGGGAACACTAGCAAACTTGATGCCCGTAGAGGCTGGAAAAGAGCTTACACAGTAGAGCTTGACTTTTTGGAACACTTCCACCTTCAGATGAAGCAGAAGATGAAAGAACAAATGGAGAGAGGCTTAGCCATCCCCGTCACTGTAGCTGTCCCAAGTGAGGTCCAGACATGTGGGTGAAGCCATCTTAAAACACCCAGATCCAGCCAGGTGAGTGAGTTCAGGTGAGTCCAGCAGGACACTCACAGAACTCTGAGGAAAAATAAGGCACTGCTGTTTTAAGCCAATAAGTTTTGAAGTTGTTTGTTGTACAGCAATAGATAAACAGACATAATGGCTTATGGCAGAGCGATCCTTTCAAAATGTAAACCGTACGTCATTCCCCTCCTCGAAATCCTCTAATGGCTTTCTACCAAACTGAGAATGAACTCCAACATCTTCCCACAGCCCACAGATGCTGCTTGCTCTGGCCTTCTGCTACGTCCCCAGCCATGACCCCTATCCCTCCCTCTCATGCTTCTCCAGCTACGTTAGCTTTCTTGCAGTTCCTTGAACACACCGAGCATATTTCTGTTTTAAGGGCCTGTGGCAGAAACAGAGATGGACCACCCAGATTCCCCTTCAAAGAAAGGAATTTCTGCCCAACCTACAAGAAGCATGTTTAACTTACAACTCCAGTATTAGCTTCCTCAAGGCCCACCTCAGCTTTTCTCAGCTGAGAGCACTCTGTTCTCAGGACAGTCGCTGGTCAAATGACCGAGCAAAGTTGGGCAGAAAGGCCTGGTCATTTCCTCCACCGAATGCGGAATGTTGTATCAGTTCTCCTTGGTGTACTGTTCTGGAACCCCCCCCCCCCCGCATTGGGCTGGCAAAGAATTTGACAGGTGCATGCAAGTCTGATGGCTCTTCTGCCCAATCCAATTTCCTTCCTTTCCCTTTCATAGGTGTTACTCCCCAGTAAATCCTTTGTCCTTCCAACTCTGTCTCAACATCTGATTTCTGGAGAATCCGAGATGTGACAGGACCTTTGCACTTGCTATTCTCTAGACCTGAAACTCTTTTTCCTCCACACATTTGCATGTCTTGCTTACTTCACTCAAATTTCTGCCCAAACACCACACTCTCAGAGAAACCTTGCCTGATCATCCTATCTCAAACAGCACCCCTCTGAATCTCAGTATGTTTTCGTTTTCTTTATAACACCTACCCATTACTTCACATTACACTATACGTTTATTTATTTATTTTACTACTTACTGTCTTTTCCACTAGAATGTAATTTCAATGAAGGCAGAACTTGTCTATCTTGCATCTCCCTCCAGAACAGTGGCTGGCCCATGGTAGGCACTCACTAAGAATTAGTTGAAGGGTCACACTGGGAAGGGGTGAGGGACGGAGGGAGGAACTCATATACTTAATAATTCATATGATCATTGCAATGGACTGAATGTTTGTGTCCCCCCAAAACTCATAAATTGAAATCCTAATCCCTGAAGTTATAATATTAGGAAGTGGGACCTTTGGGAGGTAAATAGGTCTTGAGGGTGGAACCATCATAAATGGAATTAGTACCCTTATATAATGAGCCCCAGAGAACTTCCTTGCCCCCTTTCTGCCATGTGAGGACACAGCAGGAAGTCAGCAGTCCTCAACCCAGAAGAGGACCTCACCAGAATCCAACCATGTTGGCACTGTGATCTCACATTTCTAGCCTCCAGAACCATGAGAAACAAATTTCTGTTGTATGTAAGTCTGTGATATTCTATTTTAGCAGCCCAAACTTATTAAGATCATTAAAAGAGACCAGAATCTTCAAAGTCAGGTAGCTGATTTTTCTCTAACCTGGACAGAGCTTGAATAGGGAAAAGACACAGTAAGGGGCACCTGGGTGGCTCATCAGTTAAGCATCCAACTCTTGATTTCGGCTCAGCTCATGATCTCGGGGTGGTGAGATTGAGCCCCAAGTCAGGCTCTGCGCTCAGCAGGAAGTATGCTTGAGATTCTCTCTCTCTCTCCCCCTCTGCCCTCCCCCTGCTCTCAGGTTCTCTCTCACTCTTTCTCAAATAAATAAGTAAATCTTTAAAAAAAAAAAAGGGGGGGGGAGAAAGAAAGAAAAGACAAAGAATTCAATGGGCATTTGGAGGTACAGGTTAAGCTTAGCAGCTGGAATGGAAAGGAAAATCAGACCGAGAAGGAGAGGAAGCTGAGGGAAAATGGCAGGAGAAAAACTACCAGGGAAAAATTTCCACTAACAAGATAGCTAACAGAACTTTTTTTTAATGTATTACAAATAGAATTAGATTTTAGGTTATATGTGGTACCTCTCCAAAATTACCAAATTAATTCAGTAAAGCCTGGTACAAACCCAAGTACCTTGTCTGAGTGGTTCTTGGGAAAATTTTTAAAAAGAGGGTAAGTTGGAGCTGGGGCAGAGTGAGTAGAACAGGTACACGAGGTAGGACATGAGTGAAAGCTCCCATTAAACAACCTTTGTCCCTACTATGTGCTAATCATTCTATGAAGATACAGTGTGAGAGGTATCACATCCCTTCCTCCTCAAGTATCCCATGATCTACCAGGGAAAACTTAAACATACAAGGACTATAATGATTAAGAACACTACCCCTAGGGGCGCCTGGGTGGCTCAGTTGGTTAAGCGACTGCCTTCAGCTCAGGTCATGATCCTGGAGTCCC